GACCACACGTTGCTGTACCTCCAGCTCCGAAAGACGGTAGGTGCCCATTTGTGGAGAAGAAAAATAAGCAACTTCTGCCGCCGACTCCCAGAGCACCGGAGCTCTGCTCTCTGCACGGCCTCCTTATTTTGGCAGCGGGCTGTCTTTAAAGAACTTTATTTTTTTAAGATTTATTTACTTATTCATGAGAGACACAGACTGAGAGAGAGGCAGAGACACAGGCAGAGGGAGAAGCAGACTCCCCACAGGGAACCCGATGCAGGACTCGATCCGGATCCTGGGATCACAACCTGAGCGGAAAGCAGGTGCCCAACCGCTGAGCCACCCAGGCGTCCCAGCAGGCTGTCTTCATGTTTCAGCAAGGACTGTCACTGGTGTGGTGTAGACCCGCACCGACTGGGAACTTAACTACTCTGCTCTGAGCATCCAGAGGACAGTGGAGCCGGACGGTGATTATCACATGCCTTAGTAGCCTGAGCTTTGAGTCTTGAATAAAACTCCAATTTCCTTTAAAATACTTAGCTTTTTTTTTTTTTTTTTTAAATGCAACACTGTTCAGCTGTGAGAATTGGAATAAGCGGAGACTGGCTATTTTTGGCATCTAACTATTTCTACTACCACAGTTCATCAAAATGTAGGTGCCAAATAGTCGTGGAGAAAACTTTGACAAATTGTGATCATTTTTAAAATTAGCATGCCTGAAAGGTGTGTTTTGGGGATGGCAGGTTTTCAGAACCAGTGTGCCTCTCAGATTATAAATAGTCAGGCCTCTGGTTCCCTAATATAAATGTTCCTCCAGCTTCTCTTGTGCATGAGGGTTCGAAGGAGGCAAGATTGTAGGTGTGTAGGGGCCGTGAGGACGGAACGTTCTAGAGTCGATGGAGGACCTTGTGTCTGGACAGGAGCCCCTGGCAGAGCTGCAGCTCAGACTTTTGTGAGGCGTGAGGTTAGGAGAGTGGAAGCCACAGAACCCTGGCATGTGGGGCTTCCCAAGGGCAGGGAGCTTGCAGAATGGAAGGGTCACGGCCTCAGATTCCAGTGTGTGGGCTGGTCCCTTGGGCTCCCTGGGCTGAGCCCCACCTGAGTGAGCGGGGGCCACACCCTTGTGGGCAAGGCTGCCCCCAGATGCCCTCCGACCCTGGGGGGCAGGGAGGGCTCCGCACAGCTCTCCCAGACGTGGCCTCGTCCCTGCCAGGCTGGTCCCACCCCGTGATGGCACTGAGCAAGTGGGAGGGTGGGGGCAGCCCTCATGGACTAGGCAGTGGTGTGGCCCCACCCGGAGGGGGCTGCAGACCAGGCACGAGGCCTCTGTCAGTGTGCAGGGGTAGGGGCCGTGAACCAGGAGGGAGGCGCACAGGCTCCCAGGTCCCGCCAGGACCTCCAGATGGAGGGAGGCCTGGGGCGGAGGGTGGGGGGGGGGGCAGTGGGCTGCAGACCAGGAGGGAGGCCTCGGGAGGGGTGGGGTGGTCAGGGGCTGCGGACCAGAAGGGAGGCCTGTGGGGGAGCAGTGGGCTGCAGACCAGGAGGGAGGCCGTGGGGGGCAGTGGGCTGCAGACCAGGAGGGAGGCCTGTGGGGGGAGCAGTGGGCTGCAGACCAGGAGGGAGGCCTCGGGAGGGGGTGGGGTGGTCAGGGGGCTGCAGACCAGAAGGGAGGCCTGTGGGGGAGCAGTGGGCTGCAGACCAGGAGGGAGGCCTGTGGGGGGAGCAGTGGGCTGCGGACCAGGAGGGAGGCCTCGGGAGGGGGTGGGGTGGTCAGGGGGCTGCAGACCAGAAGGGAGGCCTGTGGGGGGGCAGTGGGCTGCAGACCAGGAGGGAGGCCGTGGGGGGCAGTGGGCTGCAGACCAGGAGGGAGGCCTGTGGGGGGAGCAGTGGGCTGCGGACCAGGAGGGAGGCCTGTGGGGGGGCAGTGGGCTGCAGACCAGGAGGGAGGCCGTGGGGGGCAGTGGGCTGCAGACCAGGAGGGAGGCCTGTGGGGAGAGCAGTGGGCTGCAGACCAGGAGGGAGGCCTATGGGGGGAGCAGTGGGCTGCGGACCAGGAGGGAGGCCTCGGGAGGGGGTGGGGTGGTCAGGGGGCTGCAGACCAGAAGGGAGGCCTGTGGGGGGGCAGTGGGCTGCAGACCAGGAGGGAGGCCGTGGGGGGCAGTGGGCTGCAGACCAGGAGGGAGGCCTGTGGGGGAGCAGTGGGCTGCAGACCAGGAGGGAGGCCTGGGTGGGGGTGGGCAGTGGGCGGCTGGTGCTCAGCACTCCCTGTGCCAGGACGGCTGTGCTGATCCATGCAGGTGTGCTGCCCGTGTGCCGGGTCTGCACACACCCAAAATTACACGGTTCACTTGTCCATGGTGCTACAGGAAGCCAGGGGAGAGGCCAGGACAAAACAGGAACTGGGGGTCATCAGACCTGTGTTCTCTCTGCGCCCCCTGTTCGCCCCTGGCCATCAGTCTACCCCATCCCTCCATCCCTCCATCCGCCCCTGTCCCTCCATCCCCCTGTCCCTCCATCCCTCTGTCCTTCCAGCCCTCCCAGCAGGTGCCTGCGGACAGGATGCTGCTCATGGGTTTATACCACAAGACACACAGCCCTCGGGAGTTGGGTGCTGCGGGAGTGTCCTGAGACGGAGAGACAGAGAGAGACTCAGACAGATGGAGAGACATAGAGGCAGCCGCTCCCCCAAATTGGGGCAGCAGCCGCCTCAGAGCCTTCACTTCTGCCCAGCATTGGACCCGGGGCTTCAGGGTGAGCACATCTGGGGTGCCCAGAGTGGCTCCTGCTGGAGATGGGAGCTCACGAAGCAAAATAAATGATGCTGTGATGCTGGCCATACACTGAGTGCTCCGCAGACACTGCCATGGACATTCCCCTTGCCAGAGTCCAGGGGTCCCGTGACTTCGAGAGGGCAGAGAAGGGCCCGGCCTGGTCCCAGGAGTCAGGGAGGCCGCCGTGGAAAGGCCTGGTCACCAAGGCCAGTGTGGGGCCACAGGGCACTCAGCTGCAGACACAGCCCGGCACAGGGGATGTCGTCCGTCGCCGTGAGCACACTGGCCTGCCGTCTCCCGGGACCTGGTGTCCTCAGCCGTGGCCTGTCCCCCCCTGCGTCCCCTGCTGCTGCTGCTGCCCCGAGGGCCCAGGACCTGCCTCTGCACACCAGCCGTGGAGCAGCTGCTTTCCCACAGGCTGGGCCGACCTCCGGGGCTGACAGAAATGGACCAGCCGAGGTTATAGTGAAACATGGACAGCAGTCAAAATGAGGAAAAATATCTAAAGATCATGAGTTAAAAAAAAAAAAAAATTAATTCTCTTCTGACCAAAAGATAAGAAGAAAGAACCAGATCAATACATTGTGGTTAATCAGTTTCTTTTCCCACAAAGAAACACTTTTCTAGTGGGATTTTTGCATCAAAAATATAAATCCCAAGCTAGATGCTGTTAGGATTCCGTACGCACTGTCGATTCTTTCTTGCGGACACTCGTAGCCGAGGGGACAGCAGCCCCTGCACGCTGACAGAGAGTTCAGCTGCGCCACCGGCTCCGTGTCCTCTCGCCAAGTAATCGCTTGCTGACCGTGACCGTGAGGACGGAGCGCAGTGCCTCCGGGAGCCTTGGCGGAACCAGCCGGTGGCGAGGTGCCTGCTGGGCCAGCATCCGCCGCGGTGACAGGGTTTGTCTGAGGCTCGTGCGCCTGGCGGCTCGGGGGCAGGAGTGGCTCGCCGGGGACGCCGCCCGAGACTGCCCCGCCCGGCCTCTGATGGCTGCTGTCCCCGCGGGGTTTGTTGGTTTTACCCCCACCCCCACGGAGACTTCCTTCTTCGTCTGGTGTGAAAGCGATTCAGCAGCATCTTTTCTTTTCAGCGGCGCGTGCGTGCGCCCAGCGGGGCAGCTCCACCGGCTTGGCGCCTGGCAGGTTTGCCACAGGCCTCTCCGTCCGTAGGGCCTGCATACACGACGCGCTCATCTCCCGAGGCGTCAGGAGCTCTCTGCCACCTGGGGCTGTCTGGAGCACCGCCTGGCCGTGGCCCCCTGCACCCCGAGCGGGTGCCCCTACTCTGCGTCTTTGCTCAGGGAGCGGAGCCGTGTGGCGTCGGGGCACCCTCCAGCTCCGTCGTGTCCCCGGACCGCTGCTGGTGTTTGGTCACTCGCTGCTGTTATTCCACCACCCACCCTGCGTGTTGTGCTGCGTGGGCCAGGGGCTCCCCAGCTGCGGAGCGCTGTGCTTCCCCTGTGCACGATCCCGCGGGTGCTGTGTTTGCACAGCTGTCGCTGGCACCTGCCTGTCCAACTAGGCCTTCTGTCCCCGCCCCAGCACCATGTCTCACCTGCCGGCCGCCAGGACCTCCAACAGGTGGGCATCCTGCGCCTTCGACCTCAGGAGAGGCTCCCAAGCCATCCCCCCGCAGGCCGTGTTCTCTGTGGGTCTGCTGCAACTGTCCTGTGTCACAGGTAGAATTTTCCACTCTGTGCTGCACCCACTCCCGTCGGCGAGGCCTGCCTGGTGCGGCCCTCTCGCCCAGGCGGTCAGGGCATACACACCGCCAACCGCTGCCCCCCACCGGGAGCGCACACTCAATCTTCATTTCAAAATGCAACTTCATGCTGATTCACAGGGGCAAGGCGCCGCTATTTATGACTTATTCTCACATCCAAGTAACTCCTAGAAGGCACCAAAGTAATGTTTTAAAAAATAGGAATTAATGTTTTCATCCCAAGGCCACAGGACTGAAATTTTACTACCCCCCCAAATTGCAGCAGCTCTTATGTCCCTGACCCCTCACCGCTTGTCAGGATTGTAGCAGCGGTGAGGGTGTGTGTCTCCCTGTGGCCTCGTGCAAGGACACATCGCCGCTCGTTTATTTCAGGGTAAGTCCCGGGACCTGAGTTAACGTTGACAGTGCAGTAAATATCTGAAATCCCTTGTCCACTGAATTTGCAAGATTCTAATGGAAAATGAAGCCCAATATGTTTGCTCTGTTTCCATGTACAGAAAATATGAATTTTTGTTTTTGTAGATGAGGATCTTCATGCTCGGCCGAAGAGAAGAAGAGCAAGAAAGCATAAATCAAGGAAAAGCCTTAAAAATCCCAACAACGATGGTGCAGAACGAGCAGAAGTAGAGAAACAGCAGAGTCTTTTACCAGAAAACCTGCAGCCACGGCACGGAGATGGCCCCACAATTAGCAAAAATAAAAGGAGGAAGCTGAAGAAGCAGCAGCAGATGAAGAGGAAGAAAGCGGCTGGCCTCCTGACAGCGGCCTCTGGCGGCAACTTCACATACCAGCCAGAGGAGGGCGACAGCGAGTGGGCGGCAGGGCTGGAGAGTGATGGGGAGGAGGATGCGGAGGACCACGCAGAGGATCACAGGGAGGACCACGCGGAAGACGGCCCCCGTGTCCTCGGGGAGGGTTGCGAGGAGGACGGTGCCCGTGTCTTCAGGGAGGACGACGGGGAGGACGGTGGCCATGTCCTTGGGGAGGATTATGGGGAGGATGGCACCTGTGTCCTCGGGGAGGACCGCACTGACACCCACGAGGAGGACCACAGGGAGGATCACGGGGAGGACGATGAAGACACCAGTGGGGAAGATGTTAAAAACACCAACGAGAAGGCAGACGATATCCTAAACTTTTTGAAGTCAACACAAGAAATTTATTTTTATGATGGTACGTTCTTTACTGTTCTTTCAAATAATGGCATCCACTTATTTGGAAAAGTAAAGTATAGTAGAATATGTAAATGTTTAAAATATGAAATGTGAAAATATTCAGTGGTGAACATAAGTCTTTAGCTTTGAGGCAAAGACCAGAATGTATGGACTCTTCACCCGGGTTGGAGAGTGTCCCCGTGCTGGAGACGTTGCACTCCTCACGTAGGCGGCCACTGCACCTGACTCCTGTGAACCTGCCTCAGAGGCTGGCGGTGTTCTCAGCCAGCTCTGTTGCCTCAGGAAAGGTAAGTCCAGGTGGCAGGTGTGGTGGACTCACGTGCCTTGTCCTCAACTCACAGGGAAGGAAAAGTGCAAGCACGACTGTCTCCCCTGGGGCATACTCTGCTCCCCACATGTAACTGCGGGCTTCAGGTTTTCAGTGAGCGCCCTGGGCAGCTGTCTGTGGATGCAGGGGGTGGAAGAGGAGAGCAGATTGGTCCTCTTGGGTGGTGGTTCCTCAGGTTTGCCTTGAGCTTACTGACAGCTGACCTCAGGATCAGGAAGCAGCAGGTCCTCAAGCAGCACGGATGGAGGCGCCCAACATGGATGTTCCCATTCCCACCACACCCCCAGCGGATGCATGCCGGGCTGGGCTTAGCGGATCCCGATGCAAGTGAGAACATGACCCTATGGACAGGGTTGAGGAATGTTGGCTGTGTAGTCATTTAGGAGATAAGACTGATCTGAGCAAGGCAGAGAAAATAGCACTTTTAACCTTTAGCACATGTGTCAGCACTTGTACTGACAGAGTGAAAACAAGCGTTAACACACGTGCAAACAAAGTTAGGAGGAAGAGAGCTGGTGCACGGCAGAGCCGAGGAGCCTCAGAACCACCTCGGGACGGGCTCCACTCGCTGGATCCAGGAGGTTGTGCAGGAGCCGCCTGAGAGGGCAGACCTCGGAGGAGGTGACGGCACGCCAGGGCCGAGAGAGAAGCGCATGGCCACCTTGTGCCCCGGGGCGGCTGTCGGCTGGCCGTGGGCCATGCAGGAGGGTGATGGAAGGGCCGGCCAGCCCCTGGGAGCACACAGGTCGGCAGCACAGCGTCAGCAGCAGAGCAGGCCATGCAGGGAAAGGCAGGCACACTGCTGGGAATGGCCAGGTGCCCAGCCCTGGGTGCGAGGGTCAGACACCCAGGACCTTCAACAGCATGGTGGGCCCGTCGGGCAGCACAGAGGGCCACGCGCTCAGAGCAGGGGCAGGCAGGGCTCTCAGGCACCACAGCCTCCATGCTTACACGCTTACACTGGGCAGCAAAACCACAAGGAGAACGTGCTATGGAGGCACTAGGGTCATCAAGGGGCGTTTAAGAGGTGATTAAGTGCTCAAAAAACAGGGAGAAAATGGTGCAACATTTTTCTCCCATAGTCACCAGATAGCTTTAGTCTATTTAGATAGTCCAATGGAAATTCTGAGAAATATAACTCAACGCAGAGTCTAAGCAGCAGGTCAGGGTCAGCATGAGAATCAGTGGCTGGAAAGCAGGTGGGATAGAACCTGCAGACAAGGGCACATGGGCGGACAGGTCTGACATACACACCTTGGGGCCAAGGGGGCTTGGGGTAGATGGGGGTGGGACTGACATGCACCAGGGGAGGGGGACAGGTCTGACACAGGTGCACGCCAGGGCCAGGAGGGGGTGCCAGGGTGGGGAACGGGTCTGACATGCCTGTGGGGACTGGGAGGGGGTACGGGAGTGGGGGACAAGATTGACCTGCACGTGGGGGCCAGACAGGGGCATGGGGCCGAGGTATAGGGCCCGTGTGCAGAGGCAGCAGTTGGGAACGGCCGTCAGGTCACAAGGTAGGGCCGTGTTCAGTCCAGCAGCACGAAGGCGACACCAGCACAGCCGAAGCACTTTCTGTCGAGGAGCGAGGATGAAGGGTAGAGACAGGCGCCTCCGGGAGCAGGGAGCGCAGGGGCTTGCGGCTCAGTGGGAGGGACCTGAGGCTGGTCTGCAGGGCTGGGCCACTCGCCCCCCCCCCCCATGGCCTATTTGGAAGGCAGGTGTCCCGCAGCCTCCCGCAGGTGGGGTATATGAGGCTGAGGCTCAACCTTCTGCTCCAAGGGTGGCCTCTCATATCCCAAATGGTTCCTTCCGGGCAGGAACGTGCGAGGTTGACGAGGATAAACACGAACGTGCGTTTCTAAGTGGCCCTGGCTTTGCTTAGGCATGTCCCGGGCTGCGGCCTCCACCGTCTTCGTGGAAGCTACGCAGGAGTTGTTCCAACGTCTTGGTGACCACAGCGTGTCCCGCGCGGATGTGCTCCTGATGCATCACATGAAGACGCTGTTGCTCCTGCGAGACACCGAGAGCCTGCAGCTCGCCCTGGACAGGCTGCCGGCGCTCTGCACCCTGCCGCCCGGTACGTACCGCGCCAGCGGGTGCTGCGCTGCTTCGGGGTTTGCCTGGGAAAACCTCACACTGCACCGGAGTGGTCAGGGGTCGGAGGTCAGGTGTCAGAACACACAGGCATGCGGGGGTGGCTTCCAGCGTCTCTGCTGGAGGTAAGTGATCCTGGGGAGAGACGCAGAAGCCGGGCCTCTCGTCTCCCAGACTGGGAGCTACCAACTGTTGGGGCCAAGTTCCCTGTGTTTAAACGGCCCCCTGTCCCCCTTTCCCACTCTGCTGCACGGGTGGGAGGGAACCCCACCCTCTGAGTGTCCGGGACAGAGGTGAGTCACAAGATGACCTTTCGCTTGTGCGTCGGCCTTGCCCGGCTGCCCGCTCCCCAGAGATGGTAGGACCTGGGGGCCAGCCGTGCTCAGGTCCACCCGGCCAGGGGGACTCCGGCCGCAGCTTGCAGTGGGCTGTGGGGGAGATCCCAGGCCACGGGAATGTGCAGACATGGAGTGCCAGAAAATTGGCCTTTTTCTAGAGAAGCACCATGCAGAGCCCCATGCCGACCCACACCGGGCACAGGACACCTGTCTAGCTGAGTGGGATGGGCTCTGCTGACTGCTGCAAGGGAATGTGACCATGATGACTGTTTCCACCCGGAAATCTCACAGTCCAGCTCAACAGTCAAGACTAACACGGCATCAAATCAGGTCAGGGTCAGAGTTGAGACCAGGAGGTGACATTCCATGTACACGCTAGACTGGACACCACAGGGAAGGAAATCCCACAGGGAGGGGATATTCATGCAGCCAGGGATAGGTGCACTGGGCTGGAGTATGGTGGGTGTCCCATGGCGGGGAGGAAATGGGTGTGGACACACAGGATGGAGGGTGACCTGAGAGTGGTGTCGGCCTGAGTGCATTTGTGCCTGAGGAGCCCGGCAGCCAGTCATGAGCTGTGAGCTCGGAAGGGCTGGAGGATCAGGAGCCAGGTCGGATGGGGCCAGTCTGGATGCTGGCTGGGCACCCCGAGTGAGGACCTAGGATGGGGAAGGTCACCAGGGGCCACGTTACAGAGCAGAGAGGGTGCAGGAGCCCAGAGGCCCCATCTGGGAGCCACTGCAAGGAGGCGACGGGAGGGTGGAGGGCAGCATGGATAAGCTGAAGGGGAAGAGCCACTGACCGACCCCGGGGGCCTTCTGTGGGAAGCCCAGCTAACCCAGTGTCAACCTTGGCTGTCCTACGTGGAACATTTAACAAACTCAAATTTCCATAATAAAGTTCTAGCTCAAATTGCAGAAAGCCAGTTTTATTAAGTTAAACACATACAAAGGTATTTGAGATAAAAACAAAGTCATTTAGAATTTTTAAAGTTTTTGTTGTGTTCCTCAGGCTGTAGCCTTTGTCACACGTTGCTCTGAAATGTGTCAGCAGGGTTTTCAGCAGCAGTTGGGGACTTAGCAGAAATGTTTCTCTCTGTTTCTTATGTGAAAATCACAGGACAAGCTCGTCTACGGGCACACTTAAGCAGTTGGTAGAACTAAAACTCAATTGAAGCACTTTTTGTAAAAGTGGATTATCTGTCAGCGCATGTAGGGTACACAGTCGGAGTTTTTCTATTTAAAGCAATTTTGCAAACAAAACGTGCAATGAACGGCGAAGCCTTGTCTTCAGAGACCAGCACGTGTGACACAGAGCTGCTCCTGGCAGTGGTTCAGGAAGCCTGCAGACAGGTGCTGGGCACTGGCTGGGTTCAGGGGGCTGAGTGCGGCTGGCTGGGCACAGGTGATAGGTGCGAGGGGCTGGGCACAAGGTGGGCACAGGTGGCTGGGCGCTGGCTGGGTGCAGGTGGCTGGGTGCAAGGTGGGCACAGGTGCTGGCCATGGGCTGGGTGCAGGTGCTAGGCGCGGGGGGGGCGGCACAAGTGCTGGGCGTGGGCTGGGCTCAGGTGCTAGGCACGGGGGGGGCACAAGTGCTGGGCGCAGGCGGCTGGGTACAGGTGCCGGGTGTAGGTGCCAGGCACAGGTGGCTGGGTGCAGGGTGGGTGCAGGCTGGGCATGGGCTGGGTGCAGGTGGCTGGGCATGGGCTGAGTGCAGGTGGCTGGGCATGGGCTGGGCACAGGTGAGTGGGCGCTATTGGCTGCATTTTGTGAGCCACAGAGGGTCCTCGCACAGCTCTGTCACCAAGACTCCCGACGCATGGTGGCTTCCTGGCCAGGCCGTAGACAAGCCCCCTGTTTCTGGAGTTAGGACAGAAGCTGGTGGCAGGAACCAGGGCTCGGCTCACAGACGCCTTACATTCCCCGCACCCTGGCGCCTGCGCTAGCACAAGTAATGCTGCCATCCAGGGTCCCTGTCACGTGAGCCTCCTTTACCCCTTGCTTGCAAGGGAATGAGGCCTCGGGGGCCAGGCTGTTGGCCCGGGCAGGGGGCACCTCGGAACGGCCTTAGCTGTGTGGGTCCATTCAGAGCCGGCAGTGGCTCGGGACCTCCCCATGACCCGGCTGCCTGCACCCAGGCGCCCCCGCTTAGGGACTCCTGAGTCTGGCGTTAGGTCACCCATGACCACACATCTGCCTGCACGTGGTGTCCGTGTGCTCGGGCGGTACATGCGGTGCCGTGGCCCATGTCCTAAAGGTCTGACCACACGTGTAGACTGCAGGGCTCTCCCCCAAATGACATGCAGACTTGCAGAATGTGTGCTGGAGGACCCATGGGCGCCGCGCACTGCCATTGACATCACTTCACGCTAGAGTTGTGCTTTATTAGGGTTTTTGTAGGTTCTACTTTGAATCTCCAGGCTACTGTCTATAAAACGATAGTTTTTAATTTTTGTTTTGGGGCTCTCTTGTTCTATTTTATTTTTGTTTGGTGTTCTGTTTGCTTTCCAGACCATGCCTCAGTGCTCTCAGCTTTCTTTAATTACTGGATCACCCACATCCTTCCCGAGAACCACACTGACTAAATCCGGGCATCTAAGAAGAGCTAACATTCAGCAAGAATATAAAAGGCAAACATGAAATTAGCAGAGACAGGATTCCTACATATAAAGAAGATGGAATTCCCTAAATCTTCTTTGTGGCCTAAACCCCAGGAACTTTGAAAACATCTCTGCCGCCGTATTTACCGTGTATCGTACACAGTGGGCAAGACGCAATTGGAGACATGGAATGAGAAATCGGGGTAAAATAGAAAGTCTTCAAATATCAGAAATTGCTTATGTCCCATATTACTCACCATGATCCTGTTTCCTTCATTCTTGTAAAAGTTGAAAGTGGACATCCTGTTAAATTTAACAAACTGTATAGTTTGAAGCTGTTATATATTTTTATAAAGTTGAATAACCCTGTATTTAAAAGTCTCTGTTTTAAGAATGTGTTATAGACATTAAATGTTCTGGTTTAAGTTGTTTGATTCTGGTTGAAGTTATTATTTTCTTCCTTATTTTCTCTTCTCTGCTTTGATGATACTGATAACAACATTTTCCCGTTCTTTCCATTTGTCCTGGCAACAGTCACCTGCTCTCAGGATTACTGCGGTTTAGAAACACCTGTCAGCTGGTGTACATTTTAGGAGGCCATTGGCTCTGTCCATGAAAAAAAATATTTTTTATTGTGGTGAAACCTACATAAAATTCACCACGTTAGCCGTTTTTAAGCATACAATTCAGTGGCGTTGAGTAGCTCACCGTATCAGGCAACCACTGTTAAGGCTAAACAACATCCGTTGTATGGATACGCCACATCCTGTTTACCTGCCATCTGTCGGCGCACACAGGGCTGTTTCCTCTGTGTTCCTGTTGTGAACCGTGCCTCCCTGGGCATCACGCACGGCATTCTGCGTGCACATGTGTTTTCCCACCTCTCTGGGGTAGAATCGCCAGGTCCCATGGTAACTCTGTGTGTGACTTCTTGAGGAAATGCTGGTCTGCCGTCCACAGCGGCCACCCCATCCCACATCCCACCAGCCCCGCACGGAGGTGCCACGGCCCCACGTCCACACCGACACCATCGTCTCCTATGGCCTTGATGACCGTCCTGACGGCCACCAAGTGGTGTCTCATGGTTTCTGTTTACGTTCCCCTGATGTTGAATGTTTTTGAGCATCTTTTCATCTACTTGTTGGCCATCCTTTCTTTCAGGGAAATGCCTGTTTAAGTCTTTGTCCTGGGGCACCTGGGTGGCTCAGTCGGTTAAGCATCGGCGTTGTAATCTCAGGGTCGTGGGATCAAGCCCCATCTCGGGCTCCCTGCTCCACGGGGAGACTGCTTCCCCTTATCCTCCCTGCTAGTGTTCTCTATCTCTGTTGGTACCTCTGTATCTCTCAAATAAATAAAATCTTAAAAAAAAAAAGTCTTGGGATCCCTGGGTGGCGCAGCGGTTTGGCGCCTGCCTTTGGCCCAGGGCGTGATCCTGGAGACCCGGGATCGAATCCCACGTCAGGCTCCCGGTGCATGGAGCCTGCTTCTCCCTCTGCCTGTGTCTCTGCCTCTCTCTCTCTCTCTCTGTGACTATCATAAATAATAAATAAAAATTTTAAAAAAAGTCTTTGTCCTTTAGTGAATTGGATTATTTGGTTTTTGTCATTGGATTATAAGAGTAATACATAAATTCTATATATTAAAAAAGTAATAAATTCTGGATATTAAGAGAAATTATTTTAAGAGAAATATTAAGAGAAATTATTTTATCGTGTTTTCTCCCATTCTGTGGCCTTTTTCTCTCTCTCTCTCACTACTGTTGTTTGATACACAAATTGTTTACCTCTTGATGGAGTCCAACTTAATGTTTTTCTTTGTCACTGGTGTTTCTGGTGTCCTATCCAGAAAATAACTGCCAAACCAGGATCGTAATATTTTTCCCTAACGCTTTCTCCCAAGAGTTTCATAGTTCTTTATAACTCTTCCATTTAGGTCTTTGATCCATTTTGAGTTAATTTTTGTATATGGTGTAAGATCAGAATCTGATTTCATTCTTTTGTGCGTAGGATATTCAGTTTCCCAGGATCGTATGCTGAGAAGACTGTGCTTTCCCCATCGACCAGTCTTGGCACCCTTGTTGACATTCATTTGACCGAATACATGAGGGTTTATTCAAGGCTGTCTGTTATATTCCATTGGTCTGTATGTCTGTCCTTATGCCAGAACAACACTGTTTTCATTACTATAGCTTCATAGAAGGTATGAGATGGGGAAGTGTGTCCCCCAACTGTGTTCTTTTTTAAGATTGTTTTGGCTATTTGGGACCCTTTGAGAGTCCATGTGAATTTTAGGCTAGAGTTTTCTATCTCTGGAAAAAACACATTCGGTATTTTTATAGGGACTGCATTGGACCTGGCCATCACTTTGGGTGGGGGGCACATCTTAACACTATTATTAAGTCTTTCACTCCATGAACATGGGATGTCTTTCCATGTACATATGTCTCCTTCCAAATTCCCTACAAAATACTACAGTGTTTTGTAGTATTGTGTGTACTAGTCTTTCTCTCCATCGTTAAGTTTATTCCTAAGCAGTTTGTTCTTTCTGATGTGATTATGAATGAAAGTGTTTTCTTCCTTTTCAGATTGTTCGTCACTAGTACAGAAATGCAACTGATTTTTGTATATTGGTTTTGTGTCCCGCAACTTTGCTGACTTTGTATGTTAGCTGTAAAGTGGGGAGTGTGTGTGTATCCCTTAGTTTTCTGTGTATAAGATCATATCATCTGTGAAAGACCTCATTCTGTCTCCTTCCTTCCAATTTGGAAGCTCCATTCTCAAGAGGTCCTCTCACCTCATCATCCATCCATGTCCTGAAGAGATGCCTATTCCACTAAGTAGAACCTTCTGGAGGCAGATTGGGACAGCCACATTCTGGGGATCCATCAGCGTTGCAGCTAGGTGCTGTGAGGCACCTTGAGCTTCATAAAAGTCCGTAAGTGGAGCCACCAGCCAGACCTGGGCTGTGACTGTTAGAACCAGTGCCCGTGCACAGAGTGGGCACACGTCCTAAAGGGGGTGTTTCGGGGAAGCCAGACCTTGCTGTGGGAGAGGGGGCAGCATCATGGTTCATCACCGTTCACTCTTTTGACAACATCTTCCTCCCCACGTCTACATGAGCAGCCTCCTCACCCATTGCCTCTTCCTCTCCCCTCATGGTAAGTCAGCATAGAATGTGGGTAAGAGGGGTCATGCCTCTTCCCGCTGAGACCATGTCAGCCACTGCTTGCCCTCAGGGACCCCCTGGTTGGCCTCCGGAAACCGGACTTCCTGGTTATAACCCTCCCCACAGGGCCTGTGAATTAATAAGCCATGTCTGCCAGTATGAAAATAAATGTTAACAAATTCATGTTTTTCCTATTAATTTTCAGTGTCCAATGTGTGTCTTTTAATTATGAACAATTTACATTTTTTCTGTGCAGAACAAGTTAATACACTGTTGATAGAGAGGAAAACCCTCCCGTTGGCAGACAGATGGGCCCTGCATTCAGTCTCTCCTCTCAGCACGGAATCCCTGTCAACCTCCACCCCCGCCCCCACCCCACCTACTTGGGTCTGACCTTCTTTGTTTCCCAGACCAGACTCGCAAATACATAGGAGCAGGATGTAATCCCACAGGCAGGCTGCCAGGGTCAGTGGGTTTTGTGTGCCATTCTAATTCCAAGAAGAAAAGAAGGCCTCTTGTAGAGAACAAAAGCAAATAATCCTGTCTCTAATGTGTCAGCATAAATGTGGTGATCTGTTTACCACCGCGGGGGGGGGGGGGGTGAAGTCGGGTAATAACGAGATCAATTTATCGTTTATAATAGTGCAGAGTCTTCGTGGAGTCCACATAACTTGTCTTCTGTGAACCACACCAGTCACGACAGAGAGGGAGGCTCTCTCGGGAAACATGAGGAATGTTTATCAGCTTGCCGAGTGAGGCAGTGGTGCCTCAGGGACAGGCCTGTCCACACCTTCCTGCCGCCCTGAGACCCTGAGGCCCCAGAGGAGGCCGCATGCACGCTCAAGCATTTCCGGCCCACACACCACTGCTGTAGTGTTTCTAGAGAACAGCTGTCCTGAGTTCACCTGCACCACGTGGCCGATTCTGGATTTTTCTTCTGTGTCCAGCACTTACGTGAGCCCCAGAGTTTTCTGCAGGGGGCTTGTCTTCTCATCTGGGGCGTATACTCTTCAGAGAATTGGATGAAAACATTGGACCCTCTCCAAAATGAGGAACAGATGCACATGTCCACCCCACCCCGTACAACAAATATCGTGCACAACTTTGAAGAGGTTGCATATTCCCCAAAACCCAGTCACCAGTGTGTTAATATTCTACTTCTGCACAACAGATTACCACACACCAGTGGCTTGAAACAGCACCTGTTTATTCCCTCCCGGTGTGTGGGGGTCAGGGGCACAGGCCATGCACCTGGATCGTGTGCTCAGTGTGGGACCCAGGAAATTTAACAAAAATCCCCGACCCCTGGACAAGCAGAGCAGGACTGATTCCATTTCGTGCTGCCCCCGCCTTGGGCCGACCTGCTTAGGGCACTGCCCCACCCTAGCCAAGCCCGGGGCACACCCTAATCGGAAATCGGCTCAGGGATAGGCCAGTTCAAATGGATACTTTAGGGTAAAATGTAACTCAATCGGCCACCTGCGAGGGTCCAGACCAGCAGGACTGTGCAACTTTCTGCGTATCCCATGGGCCACTGGCCCCTATAAAGCTGCTAAGCCTCTTAGTCCCTGCTCCGCTGTGTCGGGTGCACTTGGACCCAAGCTTGAGCTTGTAATAAACCCTCGTGTGTTTGCTCCGGTGTCGGCTCCTCGGTGGTTTCTCGGATTCGCGATCTTGGGCACAACACTCAGGGCCTCACCAGGCTGTGGGCACAGCCCTGTTCTGATGGTTTAGGACTGAGGTCCTGGTGTTCTTGCATGGCCAGGACATGTCTCAGCTCCCTAGGACCCCCATGTCCCAGCTGCAGGACCTTCTGAGGATTACTAAACTGGCAGTAATCCCTTCAAGGCCAGTGGAAGCAGCTGGGAAAAGCTGAGCCTTCTCAAGGGCTGCCCCTCCCGGAGGGGGCCCACCCACGGTGGTTTCCCCTTTGGTTAGTTTAAAACTGATGATTGGCGACCTTCAGGACAAGCTGTCATTGTGCTCACACTGCTACCACTTCACTGTCCACCACAGGTGGGATGCCCGGTGCATGCACACGAGTCGGCACATGCGGGGGTCCCGTGCACACACGCAGAGTTGGCACATGCAGGTGTCCCATACACACACACACACACACATACCACACATACCCATGTGTCAGCACATGCTGGTGTCTGGGATTGTTGTAAATAAATGATTACCTCAAAGAAGTGCCCCAGTCATGGGGCCTGGTGCAGAGGGGAGGTGGGAACCTGGTTCCAGAAAATG